TATATATATATAAATAAACAATTACTAAATTTTCAATTGAGAAACAGGCGTGTATATAATTAAATAAATATTTAAAATTATAATAATTATCATACACAAACTATATCAAGAATAACAAATTTTGACAACATTTTCATATAAATTTTCTTAGATCCTAATGACTTCATTTCATATAATGATCTCATTTAAATAATGAGATAACAAATATTCCAACTATTAAAATTTTATAATTTATTAGATAACATATCACCATAACTTTTTCGTAATATACATATAACTATTAGTATGTCAAATTCGTATTATTTAGATATCAATTTAAATTTTATATTTCCATTAGTAAATCATTTTATTTAGACTAATTAAGACAATACATATTAATAAAATTTATTTATTAAAATTTTATAATTTATTTGATAAAAATTATTCTGACTATTAAAATTTTATAATTTATTTGATAACATATGATTATAACTTCTCATTAATATAAATATAACTATTAGTATATCAAATTGGTATTATTTATATATCAATTTAAATGTTATATTTCAATTAGTAAATCATTTTATTTAGACTAATTAAGACATTACATATTAATATAATTTATTTATTAAAATTTTATAATTTATTTGATAACAATTATTCCGACTATTAAAATTTTATAATTTATTTGATACCATATGATTATAACTTCTACTTAATATAAATATAAGCATTATTAAATCAAATTCGTATTATTTACATGTCAATTTTAATTTTATATTTCCATTAATAAATCAATTTATTGACTAATTGAGATATTACATAGTAATAGATTTATTTACTAATATCTATTACATATTAATATAATTTAAATAATAAGATTTCAATATATAACAAACGTGATATTTAATATATTAGTAAATTGTCCTGTTTGTATGATATATATATATATATATATATATATATATATAACAAACGTAATATTAAAATATGGTTTACAAATATTATAAACGTTAATTTGATTAGTATAGATGTCTTCTCAATTAAATATTAAAGAGATAAGTTATTACTAAAAGATTTGTTTTCTTTATACTTATCATTCCCGTATACTTCTCATTCATATTATCACTATAAGTAAGCCACAAATCAGATTATACGCCAATCATATTCTCACATCCTTCGATAAAATTATTCTCTACGTTTTTTGTAGTAAACCAAAAAAAAAATTGTGATGGAGCAATATGGTTTGATCAGACAACTCAATATTAATATGAGCGTCTATCTTAAGCTTAGGGCTATACGCATTTTCAATAGACCAACCCATGCATCACACCCAACTGATTGCGAAATTCTTTTCCACGCTATGATGGTAGGATATTGTATTGAAATCAATTTGTATTTTAATTATTGTTTAATTTTTTTTAGCTCATTAACAATGCTTATTTGTTTTTTAGGGTTCACGAATAACTAATATCGTTCGTAGTCTCCCTATATTCGTTGGATTGCTTGAGGAGGGTGGTGTATATTATGATGATTTTAATATAGGCTAACATGCGTGTCAAATATATATATATATATATATATATATATATATATATATGGAATTATAAATAAATATCTATTTTACACATAAATATGTAGGAGATATGTCAGGATACAAATCGATATTGATTTATATGTGAATATCTATTTTATATGTTTAATATTTATAGATCAGATATGTAAGGATGCAAATTGTATCTATTCAATCACTATCTTCCCTGTTATTTAGACACCTATTGAAATGGGGAACTAAATGTCCTTTACAGATCTATTGAAGCGCGGAACTATATAACCTCTTACTTGTGGTTTATTTCAACACGTTTTTTGGTTAGATTTTTATCATGAGCGTATATTTAGTTTCCTATATTCGATAGGGTCATAGCTATCCTTTATACACATATATCGTTGTTCATATAAAATAGATAGTTGTCAAAGAAAAATCTAATCACTTATTACGGTAATGTATTTTTCAGAATTCATTCTCCTCAATACCAATAACCTATTTCGCATATGAACTATTATCTATAATCACTATTGTAGTTTATCAATGAGTACATGACATCGTTTAATTTATCTGACGGTCAGACGTACTTAAGTTCTGATAGTACTTGCAAGTCAGACTCTAATAACGATTTCCTGCCTGATATCCACACGCCTGAATTCTTAAATATTATCAAATGTTCCGGAATTCCAAATCATCAGTTGCATTTGAAGATTGGAACTCCCGTCATATTGTTGCGTAACATGGATCATTCCATGGGTCTATGGAATGGGACGCGGTTGGTTATCACAAAACTCTCAACTCATGTTATCGAGTGTAAGATACTAACTGGGGATAACGCAGGCGAGAAGGTGTTGCTTCCTAGAATGGCTATTACTCCTTCTGATGTTCGAATTCCTTTCTAGTTCCAGAGGCGTCAGTTTTCTATTATGGTATCTTACGCCATGACTATCAATAAGAGCCAGGGACAATCGTTGTCTCATGTTGGTTTGTTTCTTAAGAAGCCTGTGTTCAGCCATGGACACTTATACGTTGTTGTATCCCATGTCACCAATCGAAGCGGTTTGAAAATTTGAGTTTGTGGTGACGATGACTCGCCCCCAAATCAAACCAAAAACGTTGTATACAAAGAAGTTTTCAATAATTTATAAACTTTGTTGTTTGCGTCCAACATGTTTATTTTTGTCACAAATATAACAAGTTCATTAAATTTAATATTTAATTTTAAAAAATGCTTAGAAATATTCCCTACCGTGCATCGCACACGGGTAATTTCTAGTTATATATAATAAAGGAAATATCTAATTTATAAATATTTATATAAATAAAAAATTCCATATCTATATATATATTAAACTGAAGCAGCTGGAAAAAAAATTTGTTTTCCCTCCCATTTTATATTAAATGTTACTCATTAATGGTTTGATAAAATCAATAAATATTGTCTAAAAATTAAAAGTCTTATTGGAATTGTGTATAATAGATAATAATATTATTGGGAATGTTGAATAAGTTGATAATTATTTAGAATGTTGTGCTAATTCTACACATCTCTATACAACTAATAATTAGATCAAACAAAAAAAACATAATGATTAATGTCAAATTTTCTATTAATTGTCCTCAATGGACTATTTCTTTAAATTTTTAAAACCTTCCACTTTGGATATTTTAAATTATAAAACTATATTATATTTTCATTATAAAACCGCAATATAAGAGCCTAATGTAGTCTTAATTTAGTTATACATGTTTCACAATTGTGGGTCATTTTGAAATTGTAAATTCGTAACCACATAATATAAAACCTAACATATATTTAATTATAATAATGCGGTAAAATAAAAGTTTATAGAATTTAAAAGATTAAAAGACATCATTTTTATAGGATGTCTTTATATTTAATTCATTGAGTAAAATTTTCACTGCAAAAAATCATAAAAACTAAACAGAAAATTATAACATATTAACAATTATTCTCAAAATTAAAAGTATATACATATCTATACAATTGAAATATCAATAAAAAATATTTTTCTTTCAAAACTTTATTTATATTTATGAGATCGACATATTTGTATTGAAACATATTATACATATAAACAAAAATAGAAAGAAGATACAAAGAGAAAGCAATGACAAAAATAATAAAGTTAAATTTTACATATAGTTAAATTAGAAGAGACATAATGTTCAAAATAAAAAAATAAAAATGCATCTATAGGTTTTTTTGGGTCAAGGTGTAAACCAAGTGAAAATAGGTCTAAAAAATTGCGGATAACCTACTTGGGAAGTAAAATTATTTAGATTTAGGTTTCATAACCATAACAATAGAATTAAATTTATACATAATAACACATTGGAAACTTCACTCCAATTTTCATGGTCAAATAAATTTGAAACAAATTCGTCAAATTCTATGTAGATCAATATAATGCGGCAAAATAAAAGCTTATAGCATAAAAACTGAAAACCTAGCAGTTATAGATAATTCAAATAATATCAATATATTGTTTCTTTTAAAGGCTAATTTAAAAATATTATTATTGTAAATTTCCAATCCAATTTTTCATTTACATTTTTCCTATCTTTACAAATGATTATTAAATTGTTCTTATTGATTGGTGGACCAGTCCAAGTTTAATTATAACCTCATATTTATTAAATATATCCATATTTACTTTTTCAACCGATCGATAACTTAAAAAGAGAAAACATGACGAAATAAATTCCAAAAAAAATCTATTAAAATATTTAATTCTTAAAGAGTTCTAATATATTCATATGGAGCATTATATATCATAATCATAAAAAAATATTCAAAATACATTAAAATAGCTTTGATTGTGAAGTATGGAGAGGAAAATACATATATATCGTACAATTTTAAATTAATTTCCAGTTATATATTAGGCATTTTCATATTGATTTTGTTGTGATTAGGAGTATGTTGTTTGGCCAAAATACATAGTTTGTATAATTTTGTTAATATTTCGTC